GTTGCAGACGAAGAAGTTAGGAGCCGGATCAACAAAGCAAGGCTCGCGTTCAACACCCTGCGACCCATCTGGAACTCCAGGGATAACCTGCACAGCAAGATCCGCATCTTCAACACAAATGTAAAAGCAGTCCTCCTGTATGGGTCCGAGACATGGCGAGTTACGAACACCATCACCAACAAGATACAGACATTCATCAACAAGTGCCTGCGACACATCCTAAACATCAGGTGGCCAGAGAAGATCTTAAACACAGAGCTATGGAAAAGGACCAATCAGAACCCAGTCAGCCAAGATATCAGGAAAAGAAAATGGGGTTGGATCGGACACACGCTGCAAAAACCAGCTGACAACATTACAAGGCAGGCCTTAGACTGGAACCCACAAGGGAAAAGAAAAGCTGGGAGGCCAAAACAGACGTGGAGGAGATCGGTCGGGAGTGAAGCGAAGGCCGCCGGGATGGCGTGGACCCAGCTGAGGAGAGCAGCCCAGAACAGAGTCCGTTGGCGAGGTGTTGTTGCGGCCCTATGCTCCGCTGGGAGTCTACAGGATTAAGTCAAGTAAGTCATTGCTTGTATTTTATGTATATTTTGTATTTCTAATTATAAACAAGAAAAGATATGTTATCAAAGTTATAAAACCTAAGAGGAAGAATTTAGTGTCAACATATCATGACACAGACAAGTGAAGATAATTTTTCTAATAATTCTTTTTGAAGTAAAAAATTATATCTTAGACAGTATAGAAAAAATGAATTGTAAATTATATTTTGATGTCAAATTTACTGACATAGACTGATAATAAAGTTGCTTAATTAAATGTTGAATGTAACCGTAAAAGATCACGACATGCTGTACAGAAAGAGTTGATCTAACTAATCTAACACACACGCTGCCAAACTAACAATTAATTACGGAGGTTGTAAAGCATCCTCACAAAAGTATGGAAAAGTGATGGTATGGTTGATTTCGTACTGCAGAAAACTTCCTTGGAGTGGTGGGATATTTTACAAAGGTAAATTATACTAAAGAAATTTTTGCAGATAGTTGTATTTGTTAAAACAGAACAGCCAATAAGATGATTTCATGAAAATATAACTATAATATGGTGATGCTCATTATTTGTGTGAGGCCTTGCTGGGGATGATGTGGAATACCAATGTGGGATAGTGTCTGACATGAAAAGCCTAAGATCATACTTTCACAGAAATAGCAGTCCAAGTAAATATACACTTAGACTGTGCATGTTCTGTGGATGTTAATAAAAGGAATTAACAGGAAAAATCTCCATTGTTTGAGCATCTTTGGGTGAAATTTTGGAGGACCTAGGGGAAATACAAAAATCCTGGAAAATGTATACATATATATAGTCTATAGGCTTAGAATAAACACACAACTATGAAGGGAATATAAATAGGTACCATCAAAAGACAGGAATATGTCAAAGCAGCTCCAGTGTTGACAATGATTTCAGAGTAAATCAAACTTGCACGTTACAGTTCATTATAATGAACAACACACTGACTAACACAGCAAATTAAGTTGTAGTACACTGAAGACATGAAACTTATAGATAAGATTCAGACTTTGGTTACATTAATACTCATAGATCCTTTTTCAGTCAGAAATGAAACAATCTTGTTGACTTTGTAACAGGGCAAAGGCCTAATGGACAGATATGATACCTCACTCGTATTAAATAAAACATTTATTTTCACTTAATGTTTGAAATATTTATTATTTAATCCAAAAAAGCATTAATGAATAAAAAAAGCTTTTACAGTCAACTTAGGTTAACCACACAGTATACAGAAGCTAGTTTTTTAAACCAAATCTCTTGTATCTGAAATAGTTTCCCAACAAGAAAACAACATAACATCAAGAAAGATGATGTTATTATAAATATAATTATAAGTTTGTTACATTTACTTTATTCATTTTATTATTATTCTTAATACTATAAATTAATGAAAAATGCAATAAATTTCCACTCAACTTTTAAAAAATGGTGGAGGATATAACAAGGTAAAGCTTATACAAATATTTTTTCATGGCAATGAGCAGTGGTATATTAACAAAATAATCTTGGCGTATTATAATTTATATCATCAATTGCGTGAACAACACTAACAGTAATGAGTAAGTGTGAACTAGATTCATCATTAAGTAAAAAGAAAAGTGTACTTATTTGTTATCATTATATTTAAGTAATTTACAAATCAGATAATAACAAAATATTATTTATTTATTAAATTATTTATAGAACCGATTATTATTTTTACTTGAATTAACTTTACTAACATGTAAGAACTTAGATCATGCTCGCACTGTGTCACATACATACATTGTACTATGTCCCACAACACAGAATATATAACATAAACAATCGCAAAAAGTCAGACGCAGCCGAAGCATATATAATTATAAATTAACACAATATGCGTTACAACTTACAAGTTATATTGACAGGATTCGATGACCAGCAAATGAAAATGTTTACTAGTTCAGAATGTACCATTACTAACGTTCGTAAGATCAAAATTAAATCTTCAGAACAGGATGATCACACTTATCTAACATACTACAAGTAAATCACATCGCGCCATAAACTAAATTGTTTACTCTCCAACCCAATGAATCACGATCATATTAAATTAAAAGTAGGGTACCGTCATAAAAAATATATATATATATATATATATAAATTAAAATTTGCATTTGTATTTATGGCAAACCTACTGAGAGTATCTGCTGCTGCCTTTAATTTTGAGCAACTGTTATTGTCTATTATTAAGCACAAAGCTACACAGAGGACTATCTGTGCTCTGTCCACCACGAGTATCGAAACCCGGTTTCTAACGATATAAGCCCGCAGACATACCACTGTGCAACTGGGGGGGCTTGAGCAACTGACCATTCAGCAGCATTCTACCACCCTAATTTTGAACTACTGACCAGTAAAGAGTAATGTTTTTGGCAGCACCAGACTACTTATCATCCACGCTAAGAACTTGATTATCACTCTTATAACGCACTCACACTTCAAGGTTTGGGATAAAAAATCATTGTGTCTCACGATTTCGAAACCCAAACCTGTACAAAGAGTCAACCCTTGCCCTTATGCTACTGTGATTGTATTCTTAGATGAACTGATTTCCCCACAATTATTAGATACTCCCAATTAAAAACAGCAGGATCGAAAACGGAATTTTAGAGTAGCCTGAACTTAAAAACTCAGCTAAGTAAGCCGTATGAAAAATAAACAAACTGGATATGTTTGAAGAAAAGTCAAAACAATCTTTATTACTGATATAACAACAACAACAAAAGAAAAAAGTTGTGCAAACCTGCACAGATAAAGGAATGGTCATCTCTATTGAATCAATGTGTGTGAATCGGTATCTCTCTTTTTCTCAGTATAGATCTCTGTATAACTAAGGATCCATGCTGATACAATAAATCTTTGTCTCCACATGATTCGTCATACTCTCACAGCATTCGTCAGACGTCAACTGTGATATGCAGATATCATCCACATGGCCAGTAAAGGACGATGCAGTCGCTGACTTTTTCAACACAAATGTAGTACAACATCTCTTTGGGCAGAGTATATATCACCAGTATTGAGAACAAAGATGCAAAGGCAACTAGAACAAGGTACTTTCAATGTTTTTCTGTACCATGTGTTTATGCCACAACTGCATGAAACCAAACTAAACGAAAATGTTTAAAATTTCCTATATCAATAAAAAGAGCATATGATATGCCCATATACCACACTTTTCTTCCTCCTCTGTGTCAGTGCTATCCTTAAGCGAACAACTGAATTTAACATTAAAGCCAATACACTTTAAACTAGCATCATGATCAAGAAGCATGTTCCTAATAGCAAGTATACACAACACACCGATGACAGAATTCTTAACAGAGAACTACACTTATTGCAAGATTTCAAACAAACTGCCTTTCAGCACTATCCATTATAAAAAACTATTGAAGATATGCAATGGCAGCTCGAAAAGTTGTCCACTACTTCCTAAACGGATTCAGTACCTTAACAACGCTTTTCATGAGTGCTCTTCCCTGTCTAAACTTTCTCTCAAGCCAGAATCATAAAATAATAAAATAAAATAACAAATGACAAAACAGCACAAAGAAAAAACATTTAACATACACAACCTACCCCTTTAGAGGGGAAGGGGTAGTCTAACAGAATATGCATACATGAATAGGAATGAAATGGAATAAAGAACAAATATTTGTCATTGAAAAAATAAGAACCCTTTAGCATAATTTTAGTTTCAAAGTCACAGACATCAAAATAAAAGTAAATCCCGTTAATTACAATCTAGAATTCAATACACTATGAAAAGTCCAGTTATAATACAATATATATGTCCATATATATATAAGAAGACAATCCTCTTTTTCATACATTAGGACCACAGTTATCTTAACCGGGTCTTTCTCCTCAATATGATCAAGAAATTCAATTTCTTTTCACATGAGTGAACACTTTTCAAGTTTCGCTTTCAAATCTGCTGCAGTTTCGAAAGACTAACCAAATATTGAACCATTGTTGACATAGACCAGGCATCTCTCCTATTACAGTCCCTTCAATTAAGCTCCATTAGTCTCTCAAAAGTGACAGGCACATTACACAAACCCAGTTGTATGGTGTGGAATTTATACAAGCTATCTTTCATGCTAAGAGCAAAGTTAGGCTTGCTCTCGTTATTCATTCTCAGTATCCAGGTGCCAGCTCCAAAGTGTTGAACCTATTTAATATTCTACATATTATTCTGTTCATGGTAAAAGAAAGGTGTCAATGCAGGTTACTACGTTCACCCATCTAAGATCAACATAAAATTTGATGAACCTTACTTTTTTTCTGATAATCACTATTGGAGACAACCAAGCACACTCAAAAGGTTGTGTGATTTTTCCTGCAATATCCACTGTACTGCAGCACTGGCAACCTTTCTAGTGCTCCAGGAAAGATGGCATGTTGGTTACCTTATCAAACATGTGTTGCTCATGTATATCTTATGCTGAGTCATCAATGTTCGACCCAGTTGGCCTTCTGGTTCCACATATATGTTAGCATATTCAATCATCAAGTCACTGAGTTGTTTTTACTTTGTTGGGTCTAGGTTGTATGTACAACTCTCAGCTAATGATCTCAGGTGTATTGGTTATATTGCATTTACCTTCAGGCACGGTGCAACAGATGCAACTTTAGTGTTACCACTATCATTGGTTACTTTCACTTTGCATCCCAGCATACATCTAAATAGCTGATTTTCCATAATTACAAAACAACATCCTTTGTCATACAAATGACTGACTTGGCTAACACTGTCTTCTTTCTGGACAGGAAACAGCTTATATCATCCACAGCTTCTATACCCATAATATAAAGTACCAAAAGTATGAATGCGCTATACTTTGTCCATAATTAACTATGGAACATAACTTGTGTATATAGGGTACTATTATTTCATCTGTTAAAGTCCACTGTTCCTAGGCTTGATTTGTTTGATATCAAATGACCTTCCTGTGTAATCAGCTTGCCTGTGGTACAGGTAAAACTGATATATAACTTCCACAGTGCATCCATTTCAATGATACCAATACCAGATCCTAGTTCAGAGATTATCATCTTCCTTATTTTAGTGACATTTCCTAGACCAAGTTAATCTTACTTTTCCTTTCATGTATTGTTTGTCATGATTTATCAGAATGAAGTGATCATTAATTAGCCAGAGTGTTAGTCTCACTTGGAGGGCTGTAAATATCACGAGGTCCACTAATGTTGTTGCAGCTTCTATGTTAACTACGAACTCAACATTTCACCCTTGTACCCTCACAGGTACATACCAATCTCCATTCAGCCATAATAGAACTGGGTTGATCACTAAACTCTTCAATGAAAGCAGTTTGTTGTGCTCTACCAAGCCCAAGTTGGGCTCCATCAGTTTTCCAGAACATTCCCTACAGCATCCAGCACTTATTGTTGGTTATCCTGGACATATTGATCTGATTTCTGGTACCAATAACCTTGTATATTTTTCTACTTTACAAAGTACTAGTGTTAAGGGTTGTCTGGCATCTGCTGAGTCATCAGCTAAAACTGAGAGTTCTGCCATATTTCCCTTTTGCTACTGTCTTACCAGTGTACAAGTGAATCAAATGCTTAGCTCCTTCCATCCTGTACGAAGTCCTGGTGAAACATCGGAATTTGCTGCTGTATGTATTCCATGGGTGGACTATGCAGCAGCATGTATCCCATGCCTGGAAAACTCTGCCCACTCACTGAAAATCAGTGTAATTACATTACAGTGCTAGGATGTATAGGTGTCTGGTTATACCTCAGTCCAGATCTTGTCCAATGTAATGGAGGTGCCTGAGTAGATCGGTACATCTGAGGGGTAACCACTACAACTGTCACTGTGGGCTTTTCTCTTGTGTCTGGCCAAAGTTACCACTTCATATAAAGTCACTACAGAAACTGCCTTAGTTAGGGTAAGGATGTCTCTCACATTGAGAATACCCCCAATGATTTTGTCAATAAGTATATCCTCTTGATATGTGGATATCATTGCTGGGTAAGCCTTTTCATGCAATCAGCACATATTTTCTGTGTAAGTGGCCAGGCTCTTAGTGCTAGTTATCCTCTAAGACTTGAACTTGGCCCAATAGATCGCCCAATTCTACACAAGGTGAAGTTAGAGATGCAGCTCATAGCTGACTGTATCACAGTCCTCTTGTTACTCTTGTCCCAATGTTCTATAATGATCAAGGTAGAACCATCTAAGCTCAAGATCAAGCATGGGGCAGCCTGTTCCTGAGTCCATTGATTCCAGGCAGTTACCCGCCTGAAACGATTTAGGGAATGGTTGAGGTCATCTTTTGCCATTGTCATAAACATTAGATGTGAAATTTTGTTTGGCCTAGCTCACAGGGACCTGTAGTGCTGATAAAAACCTCTCCCTTGCAGTTTTCAACCAAAGCCTGGCTAAAATTCCACCAATACCAAGGTTCAAGATGACAATTGTACTTAAGGACCCTGATTTTCAGACAAGTAATCAAATCCTGATCAAGGGTGGTGAACTATGCATAGTAACTCATTGTACAGACCTGCATGACCCACTGGGGAAACAGCTCTCTCAGGTGGAGGGCATCCACCAATGGCACATCCATCTCTCTTGGCTGTTTAAGAAATGTTCTAACCCTGTGTGGGAGATGAAACCATAGCCATTTCCCCCAAATAAAAGCAAGCCATGAAGTAGGAGATTCTACTAGTGAATGGATGCCAGGATTACCATTTCAAGAACTCTGGAAAAAGCAACCAAGGGCCCCCAACCTAATCCGGTCACTCATTAGTGTACAGAAAGATGGGACCAACCTGCACTAATACAGGAGCATAGATTAGATGTATCTAACCTGTGGAACATGTATGATTATTTACAAGTACAGGAAGGCTATGTACCCTTATAAGAAACCACCGATTCGTGGTTCCTGACTGTGCTGCAGCTAATGGTTCCAAGAGCTCTACAACAAAAATACTCCAGACTTTGCATAACACAAAGACTGAGAGAAACTAAGGTATTACCCACACTTTAGCTAACA